TTTGAGAGTCTCCAGCCTGTGGCAAGGAGACAGCAGTGACATGTGACGTCGACTCCTGCCCTCTGCTCTCTTCACTTCCAAGCCGTCCAAGCGACCACAAGGGAGCACCCAACCACCCAGAACCAACCCAATAGGACCTTGCCACGAGATTCTCCAATGTTGGGTGTAAACACCCCTTGTCCACCTGCCCGTTATTACATACTTGAATCATGATCGGGGGACATTAAGAATGGGGGGGGCGGGGGGGAGGGGGGGTCGAATTCCTCAGCTCAGCACCCATACACAACAGCTTGCAGATCAATTTTTAATAAGGGCTCTTGGCTTCCCAGGCAAGCCTTAGAAAAATATTTTAATCAGGAGCTCCTGCCGGCTCTTTGTCTCCTACCTGATTAAGTTGGAGATGCTGGGATCGATGACGATGCGTGATGTGCGTTCCAAACAGGCACAGAGAAGGCGGACGCATCCCTGAGCTCGCGGGGCCCACGGCACCACATCTACGGATAGGTAGCTATTGGGGACCTGCGACGTCAGAGGTTACAGTGCCAGCCAGGAGAGGAACAAAACAGCTGCACAGGGTAGGCCTGTGTACACAGGCACTGTGCACAGCACACAGATAAGGCTCCGCCGCCTTAAGGCCACCTGCTGGGCAAAACCTGAAACATTTTCACACCAATAACCAAACCATTATACTCAGGATAAGAACCCCCCACTCCCACTTTGTCCACATCAGGGCTATTATTGTGTAGAAGCACAGAAAGGGGGAATCGTGTGTGACGTGCACAAAGGGCAGTACTGAAAATCAGGCCGGACAGGAGAATATCCTGTCTGGTGAACGTTTATACGGCTAACAGTGAATCTTCCACATCTATAAATTATTCATTGAGTCCAGCACGCTACATAGGGACCCGCTGCAAGCCGCTCCGGGCGACCAACGTGCGGTTTCCATGCACGTCTCTCAAACGACACCGCCGGGTGTGTGCGAATGGCTTTGGAGCCTATAGGCTGGCTTACTGGGGCCCCACCCATCAGCAATAGCTCAAGCGCCAAACGCCCACAGGCCTGCTTTCTTGAACCCAGAACCCGCCCACCGCAAACAGAGCCAAAAGCAGGACATGCCCCCCCCTCCCCCCCCTTCCTGGGGGCGAAAGGTACTGACAGAATGAATAACCCATGAGCAGCGTGGTAATGAAGAGAGCACAGTCACCGCATAAACGTTACTTAAAAGGGACCGTGAAGAATCCATCAAAACATGCACTCGGGGAATGGGGGTCTTTGAAAGATATTCAGACCCCCCCCCCCCCCCCC